CAATACAGTTACCTAAATTACTGTGCAAATGAATTGGAACTGCATCCTATACTTTTTCCAAAAATGTTATGTGTATTATATAAAACTTAATAGAGTACATGAAAAGTTTTCTAATGGATGAAAATTAAAAGAAATAACAAATTTAAAATTAATGGGATAAGTGCATATAATTATATAGTAAAAGATAAACTACACTAAGGGCTAGACAGATTCATGAACTTCACATTAATGTTTCACAATTTATTGATTTATTATTAAAAGGTAAATGTATTATTTGATTGATAGTATAAAAATATTCTGAAAAAGTAGTGTGTAGATAGGGGTACAAAATATCCCCTAAGAAGGTGACTTAAATGTACTATATATTCATGAAATAGTGGCAAAACGAACCAACAAAACATTTTGTAATAATTTAAATTTAATTATTCATATAATTTTGCCTTTTTATAGATCTTTTCTGATGCGCATTCCTTGAACTTTTTTATTCATATATTTATTATTCCTAGTTAATAATTAGTCTACATTTAATTACTCAATGCAACTCTTCCAATTCTTCTATTTATTTAGCAACGAAGAGGCTTATTGCGTAAATTCAAAAGGGTCATTTTGATTTGATTCAATGCATGTTAAAGTAGAATACCAAGACATTAAATTGGTATAAAAAATTGAAAAATAAGTTAAGGAAGTTGAAACGAAACCAAAATATTGAATAGAGGACAATTTTAGGAAGATGAAAAAGCTAGCAATTCCAAGACATTGAATATAGGCTGCTGTAATTGTGTGATAATTAAAATATTACTCCTATTTAATTAGAGTAGATATTTTATTTATTACATTAGTAATTGTGTAACAATTTAAATATTGCTACTAATTAGATTAGATATTTTTATTAATTAAATATTTTTATTTAGTAAAAGGTAAAAGAGTAATTCAACTTTGAAAATTGAGCCTCCCACTTATAATAATATATGATAACTGACCAATTCTTTTTCCTCCAAAATTTATAAGACCATCCGTAATGACCTAGGGATCAATAACTTCTACATTATCCACCCCTCTTTTAAGCCGATGTCATGAAATAAGAATCCAATGATTTTTTGCTCAATTTATGGTATGTGTTAGTTGATGAATTTTTACTCATTTTTTCCCTATTTTTTCAAGTAAGGAGACATTTGTGGCAGATGTTACGGTATTTTCAACCTGTCCACCAAAAACATTTACATATAATTTGTATAAACCAAGATATTCACTCACTACCTTTAATTTGTTTTAGTTAGACCAAGTCATGGAGACTTGTAAACTTGTTATTCATTTCCATCCCCTATATTCCTATTATTTAGTAACCTTTCAACTGTATCCATCAACTGGCCTTAAAATTAATGCACATTCATATTCAACTTCATCAATCTTGTTAGCTCAAGTGTTAATTACCTCTATCCAAAATCAGTTTTTTCTTACTTGTTGTATCAAAAATTTGCACTCCTTATAAGTTAATTAATGTCAAATTAATTTGGTAGAAATTGGTATTCGATGGCAAAAGACCATGGTGGATCTCCAAAGTTGTACCAGCTTGAATCGAAGAGAAAACGAGTTACTTGGATTGTTGGTGTTAGTGGTCTATGCATCTTTTTCTATGTTCTAGGAGCTTGGCAGAATAATGGAAGACGACCAACTCCATCTGCTGAAGTGTACACGAGAGTTGGATGTGATCATGATATGTCATCGTCATCGTCAATATCATCATCAGTAGTTCCTATGGATTTCGAGAGCCATCATCAACTAGTGGTAAACAATACAAAGTCATTAGAAAACTTTTCACCATGTGAAATGTTGTATAGTGAATACACACCATGTCAAGAGCCACAAAGGGGTAGAAAATTTGATCGTAATATGCTAAAATACAGAGAGAGGCATTGTCCAAATAAGGAAGAGAAAGAGGCGTTACGTTGTCTTATACCTGCTCCACCCAATTATAAAATCCCTTTCAAATGGCCACAGAGTAGAGACTATGCTTGGTTCGCGAATATCCCACATAAAGAGCTTAGCATTGAGAAGGCTGTTCAAAATTGGGTCCAAGTCGAAGGTGATCGTTTGAGATTCCCAGGAGGTGGCACCATGTTTCCACACGGAGCTGATGCTTACATTGATGATATAAGTGAACTCGTTCCCCTTACTAGTGGAACTATTCGTACAGCAATTGATACAGGATGTGGTGTAAGCAATTTATCTATCTTCTTGTAGTTAATTTATAAACTCTGTATCTAATAATTAATATAAATATAGGTTGCAAGTTGGGGTGCTTATCTACTAAAAAGGGATATAATAGCTATGTCATTTGCTCCAAGAGATACACATGAAGCACAAGTTTGGTTTGCACTTGAAAGAGGAGTTCCAGCAATGATTGGTGTTATGGGTTCTCAGAGACTTCCATATCCAGCTAGGGCTTTTGATATGGCTCATTGTTCTCGTTGCTTGATTCCATGGTACAAGTACGGTAAGGTCTCCGACACATATATTTCACATATTAAATTTTCTTTATTAGCTAGTCATGACTTGTGATGATCAATGACAGTTTAATTAATTAATCATTTGTGTATTGCAGATGGGTTGTACCTAATTGAAGTTGACAGAGTTCTACGTCCCGGGGGTTATTGGGTACTTTCAGGCCCTCCGATTCGTTGGAAGACATATTGGAGAGGTTGGGAAAGAAGCCAAGAAGATTTGAAGAAAGAACAGGATTCTATTGAAGAGACTGCTAGACAACTTTGCTGGAAAAAAGTGATTGAAAAAGGTGATTTATCTGTGTGGCAAAAGCCTCTGAATCACAATAAGTGTATCAAAAACAAATCACCATTTATCTGCAAGGCACGCAACAAAGCCGATGCAGCATGGTACGTAATGTAATTAATTACTATATTACTACTATCAATCAACAACCTCATGAATGACATTTATGCTCAATCTTAAGGTATCAAGACATGGAAGCTTGTATCACTCCGCTACCAGAAGTAACCAACTCAGATGAAGTAGCAGGTGGTGCATTAGAAAAATGGCCGGAACGAGCCTTTGCTATTCCTCCTAGGATCAGTACTGGCTCCATACCAAGTATTACAGTTGAGAAATTTAAGGAGGATAACCAGGTAATAGAAAAAGAACAATCGATCATTTTAAAAATAGAACTCCATTATCAATTGATTGATTGTATATGTAATAATGGATGGATCAGGTATGGAATGAGCGTGTGTCATACTACAAACGTCTAATTGGTCTATTGCCTCAAGGACGATACAGAAATGTGATGGATGCAAATGCTTATTTAGGTGGATTTGCAGCAGCTCTTTCGAAATATCCAGTTTGGGTAATGAATGTGGTTCCTGCTAAGAATGAGCCAGACACTTTGGGTATCATATATGAAAGAGGCTTTATTGGTACATACAATGACTGGTGTGAAGCTTTTTCAACATATCCGCGAACTTATGATCTCATTCATGCTGGTGGCTTGATCAGCCTATATCAGGACAGGTACATATATGTGTCCTGCTATATCTTTGATTTTAATTAGTTACTACTAAAATTACATAGTATTAATTCGATTTTCTTTTTGAATTGATGAAGATGTGATATCACGTATATTCTACTTGAGATGGATAGAATATTGAGGCCTGAAGGTACAGTTATATTCAGAGATGGAGTAGAAGCACTAGTGAAAATCAAAAGTATTGCAGACGGTATGAGATGGCAAAGTCGAATTGTGGATCATGAGAGCGGACCATTTAACCCAGAGAAGATTCTTATTGCTGTAAAAACTTACTGGACTGGTGAACCTAAACGAGAATAGCTGATCAGCCACACAATATTTTCGCGTATGGTTATGAAGTTTCTTTTTTGTTATTGCTTGTAGTTGGAATTATTAACTTCATTGCAGATGAATAGAATAGAAGATCGATTCATGCTCATACTCTTTCATCTTGCACCATTTTTTTGCTTCTTATAATGTTGGGTACAATATCACTCTTACTGAGTGGCGTAGCCACTGGACACCCTTTATCAGAAAAAAAATACCATATATATAAGTAAAATGATACATGAAATGATTAAATAACATATTTTGGACACCCTTAACATAACAAGCTATTGTATCCCGTGGTTTCACCTCCTTGGAATGAGGTAGTGCTCGTGTGTTTGAATTTCACTAATTCTACTTTTTGAAAAGAGCTCTGTGCTATTTCTGGACACCCTTTGTGAAATTACTGGCTCTGCACTAACTCTTACTTGATTATGCACATGACTTTTAGCACGTAACATATGCAAAGAAAACTATACTAGTATATATCTTCAATATGTACAGATAATATATGTCATGTATAATCAAACAACACTAATATATAAAGTAGAATAAATAACTTGTCAATTACAATAATGATGATCTCAGATAAAAGAAAACTCACCACTCAACAATATTCTTTAAGATAATATCCTATTATTTTGGTAAAAATGTTAACCACTCGAAATTATTCAATGATGATATCTATATATGCATCATTTATGTATGTTGTTGACTGGCCATTCGTTAATGGATGGAAGAGTTACTTCAATTTCCGGGGGTCAACTTTTCATTATTGTTAACACATTATAATGTATTGAACAATAGCTCCCACTAGATTTTGTCCTGGCCGTATGATGCATGATTGATGATTGAAATTGAAATTGATGACCAACAAGAATTATGGTGGACTGGTAAGTACTCCTTCATCTTTAATTAGAGGTTTGAGGTTCGAGTTTCCCTGGTTACGGGGTCTTCTTTGTTTGGACGCTCTTTACTCTTAATGTAGGACTTTTTAGCGTGAATATGAATTTAGTCGAATTCTAATGTAGATACCAAATCACATTTTGCATGAAATCAGATAAATGAACTAGAGTAGAGTGTGTGTTTGTTTGTTTGTTTCCTCTATTCTTTTCCTTTTAATTAGAACCACCGATTTCCACTAGTTAGTCAACCGCCCACTCACAAAAGTCACCATCTCTCCTTAGGCCCTTATGCAATCATTCTTCTTCTTTAATCCTTCCACAAATTTCCTCTTCCTTTTAATCATTAACAATTAATTTTTCTCTTTCGCAGGTAACTTTATTTCTTAACTAAGTTTACTAAGTAAACGTCATGTTCGATCATGACTCCGACTTTGAGCACTCTAGCCTCTCGGGGGCCTTGTCATATGCAAGATGTTGACACTCTCCAACAATCCCCCTTCCAACACTTACCTCATGCAAAATGTTGCTTTTGGGAATCGAGCGTACAACTTTATTTCTTGACGCAAAATGTTACTCTTGGGAATCGAAACCTAAGACTTTATTTCTTAACTAAGTTCACTAAGCAAGTATCATGTTCGATCATGATTCCAACTCAAACCACCCTATACCCCTCGTGGGCCTTGTCATAGGTAGGATGTTGGCACTATCCAACAATCCCCCTCTCAACACCTAATCAAACTTACGACCTTGACTTTGATACAACTTGTTAGGATCAAATGCTACCATCATGCCAAAAACTATCCCTCATAGCAAATGCACAACTTTATTTCTTAACTAAGTCTACCATACAAGCGTCATATTCAATCATAACTCTGACACGGACCACCCTAGCCCTTAGTGGACCTTGGTATAAGCAGAATATTGGCACTACCCAACACTTCTCGTCTTGGAGAAGAAAGATAGAATATTTAATTAATGGGTAAAATTGGTATTTAACTCTCAAAAATTACAAGGGCAAGTTTTATGTTTGCTTTATAATATGAACAAGGTTACACAAAATGACCATAATGATTATAAGAGAAGGAAAAAACTATTTATTTTCTATAAAAGTTCATGTGCGGTAGAGGAAGTGCACATGGGGAGAACTTTGCTTAATACCGTATACAAATACCATAATAATAAATTATGGTATTACACCTTTAATTAGCAGATGGATGTACATGGCTTAATTAATGTCGGCCAAGTATTCTGTGTTAAGAGTTTAGTGTAGGAGAATCATGTAAAGTACTCTACTAAATACTAATTAAACAGTGCTGCGTGGAGCTTAACCTTTGTGATTGACAAGCTACTCATATATATGGAGAAATTAGTTTTAATTTGAGTTCTTAAACATATCACTATATATATTGGGATCCTAAAAAGTTAAAATCATTGCTCCTAACCCACGCTAGCTTCATGACGAATGACAAAGTCATAATATATCCTCCCTCCATTTCAACAAAATTACTCATTAATTAGTACTCCCTTTGTCCCATTTTATGTGAGTAGTTTGACTCGGTACAGAGTTTAAGAAAAAAAGAAAGACTTTTAAAACGTGTGGTCCAAAATGAATGATAGAAATTTGAGACTGACTAAAAAGGAAAGTAAGTCACATAAATTGGGACAGAGGAGTAGTATTTTATTCATTTTTTCTTACCCCCTCCGTCCAACAATAGTTATCCACAATATTAAAAATAGTTGTCCAACAATACCTGTCTAATTTAGAAAATCAAGAGATAATTTACCTTTTGTGTCTATTTTACTCTTGCTGTTAAATATTATTTATCACCTGACACATTTTTCAAAGCATTAAATTTAATAAAATCAAAGGATAATATAGTAATATTACTCCTATTATTTATTGTTTCTTAAGGGGTGTGTCAAGTCAATAGTGGACAACTATTATTGGACATAAGGAGTAATTAATAAATATCTTGAATACGATGCAATTTCCAATTTTTTAATAGTTTATTGATTACGTAAAACTCTCTTTATAAATAAGGATAAAGCTTGAAAGAACATTAATAATGTCTTTTTAATTATGTGAAATATCTTTCTTTTTTTAAATGAATGGAGTATATTACAAGAATATATTAAAATGGATGGAGTATGCCTTCTTGGAAGCAAAGGGAGTACTTTTTACAATTATTTAAGCTGCAAAAAATATGATTGTTTAACTTATTCAAAATTAAAATAAATATTTGGGGTCGCATTATACAGTAATGAGAAGCATATACAAATTGAATCATATATACTATTGTAGCAAGAATAGGTCGTCGACCTGGTGCGAATTACCTTTCATGTATGATTTGCGAGCTATTACACAGGAGCGAGATTTTTACACTGTGCACACCCAAAGAATAACGGATGCGGATTTCCTTTGTTATATTAAAAAAAACATAATTTACATATGCATACATATAAATACCAAAATCCACTTGAACCCCTTCCTATACTGTGGCAAACTAGCGTTTAGTAATAGATTTTGAAAAAAATATTTCCCTTTAGTGAATTATAATTTACTCATAAGTTCTAAAAATTATTAGAAAATATTTATAAGTTTGTATTATCATTTTATTATGAACATGTTCTGTGATAAAAATTAAATTTATAGATTATAATTAAGCTCCAACATGCTTTTGAACAATTTCCAATTTTTATATTTACATTACTTTTAATAAGTTCTATAGAATAATACCATTACATATTTGAAAGTCAAATAACAACAAACACATTATAAATATCAATACATACTTAATTAATAAATGGTGGGATAGTTTTATAAAATATAAAAGTTTGAATAAATTTTAAATTTTTTAAAAGTTCTCAAATAATGAAATTTGACCCGATTATTAATTTTTTTCTTAGTATTTAAAAATTTGAAATGTTCTCAAAAATATTTACCAAATAATAATAAATTGTATTGGCAGACACTATATACCAATTTTTTCCCTAAATATTTAAAAATATCTATGGCCAGAAAAGAACCGGAACAAAAAAGGCCGATAGCATTGAAATAGTGGATAATTATTGGTTTGGTAATATACCATATATATATATATTTTACTCTATGATTAATCGAAAAGAGAAGCCTACTATACTCATCTATCCGCTTCTCCTTTAGATCGATGCGAAATTGCAAATTTGTCATTATTTATGTTTCTATCAATTATTGATTGTTAATCAAACAATTCTCCGACTGTTTTAAAAGTTATTGGGAGAAAAACTTATTTATTTAAAATACTCCTTAGTTAATTATTGGACTGATAAAATAACTCTAGTACGTTTCCCCAATATCCTAGGTATTCTAGATTATAATTATAATTATATATATTTAACGAGAAACAAATTAGATTTTAACAACTTATTTCTAAAATTGAAAAGAAGTTTCAATCCCATAATTCAATTGACATGATATAGTTTGATTTGACATGAAATTTTAAAAAGAAAGCAAAAGTTGTACGACTTATAATCCTTACCATTTCATTCATAACGTTTGTACAATTATAAAATTTGTCTTAAAATAATGATAAAATTCACATGATCAAAAATCAATTCATTACGAGTAGAATAAAAAAGAAATACTTTCAAATATGAAAATCCACACTTGATGTTAATAAATAAGGAATTAGTGTTATTTTGGCAAAGACAATTGGAATGATGAGGTTGAAATTATAAGAAGAAAGCAAATGAGATGAGTTTGTTTTTTTGGTTTCCACCTCATGTTTGAAGTCCATATTAGAATTCTAACTAAATTTAGATTGTACATTGCACAGTTCATTCGGTGGTGCATTTTCAACAGATTTTTCTTCATACTAATGCTCAAATCTAAAATCTTTGATTAAATAAAGCAATTTCATCACTACACCACCACCTATGTTCGTCAAATAAGACTAGTTGCTGCATTGAAGGTGCTTGTAAGTCAGCAACGTATAACTATAATACTATATATATATATATATATATATATAAAAGCAAGGCATATAATAGCTCCAAGTTCTTTGTATAGTTATACATACCTTGAGCTTGACTCTGCCTAGCATTATTATTATAGTTTTAGTTTCCTCTCTCTACAGGGTTGGGTTCAACTTGGCTTTCACAAATAATTTAATGCATTATTGGTACAAGGTGGAATTGCTCAAATACAAGCCTTCGTGCGTCACAGGCACCGATGAATTCGTGACAGTTTTTTTATTTTACTTACCGTTCGATGTTCGGTATTCATATTTGATATTTACACTGAAACGCGATTAAATTCAAATTCATAACAGAAAGTTCCACGTCAAAGGATGAAGCGCTACTACAAAGACGACATCATATTCAAAGGAACTTGAATCCAAATTCAAAACTTCTAATTAAAAATGAATTAGTACTTATTACTGCACCCTACACATTACACACAATCTGTTGTTGGTGAATTCATGACAGTTTCATTTGAAGAAAGTATTGGCTGTCAGTTTAGCATTGTGGCCATTGACTTTCTCTCTCTCCCTCTCTTTCTCCCTCTCTTGGTTGTCGGCCTCCTTTTACTTACTTTAATTATTATTATAGCTAAGAAGTATGTGTATATAATACTAATTATTACATATGCAATACCCAAAATCACTTGTGTTTCTTCTTCATACTCTTCAATTTCATTAAGCAATCTGAGTTTACTTATTCTGCTTCTTTTGCTCTTTTAGCTGGTTTTTGTTATGTACTGTGGCTTAGTTCAGATCCATCGCCATCATCTCATAAGTGCATAATTAAGCTGGATATATTCATTTCTTCTATTCCTTAGTTACACACTTATAAAAAACCTCTAAATCATGTAACTCAACCTTCATCTATTTCTTCAATCTTCTCCTTTCCCCCAAAAAAGACAAAAAAAAAAGTTTTTTTCTTTCAGTTGCTATATTCTGATTATCTATTTGGATCAATCTATCGATCTGGCTGTAACACTGAATATCGTGTAGCCAAACATTTATAAAAGCAAAAAAAAATATGTAATATCTATCTCCATTGAAAGCAATCTAGTTCATTTTTTTCTAAAAAAAAAAAAAAAAAAAAAAAAAGAAGTTCAATTTATTGATTAGGATGGCGGAATTAGAAAATGGGATATCGGCGCCGGCAACGCCGGGGACGCCAACTCCGTTATTCCCGTCGTTACGAGTGGACTCAATGGGTTCTTATGATCGGAAGTCAATGCCCCGATGCAAATGCTTGCCTTTGGATGCTGCAACATGGGGAGCTCCTCATACCTGTCTCGCCGACTTTCCCGCACCAGATGTCTCTCTCACCAGAAAGGTACACTACTACTACTTAGTACTTACTCTCTCCGTCCCATTTTACGTGAGGTAGTTTGATTCAGCACGGAATTTAAGAAAGAAATGAAGACTTAAATTTGTGGTCCAAAATGAATGATAGAAATTTGTGTAACTGTAAATGATTTCATTAACAGTAAAATAGACATTTTATAGTTAAATTATTACTTAATATAAAAATGTATCATTCTTTTTGAGATTACTAAAAAAAAAGTAAGTCACGTAAATTGAAACAAAGCGAAACAAAGCGAGTACTACATTTCTTTTTAAGATCAATCATTCATGTCTGCATTTTTTCACTGTGTCCGTTTAAAAAATAATTATTAGTTTAATTTGATATGTAGTTTTAAAAAAATAAAGAGGATTTTTCAATTTTATGATGTTAAATGTGGCTTTGACAAAAAAAAAAAAAAAAAAGAGGGCATTTTTTTTAAGGGAAGAAATATTTTTTAGAGTACTATCTATTGATCAAACAAGTTGGGGGTTAGGTACATAATATGGCTACTTAAACCATTACAATTACATCACAAGAGGGCCCAATTAGCCAATAATTTCATTCATATTTTTCTTTTCAATCAATGAGGCACTCCTCTTGGGTCAACTATCAAACTGTTTTGATACCATTGTTATAAATCAAAAGAGTAATTAATTAGATGAGAAAGCTTATTTTGCCTATAAATGCTACTCCTTTTATTTTAATTAGTTTGATATTATATTTTTTTTGGTCCATCTTAAAAAGTCAATTTAAAAAGTATTGACTTTTTTACTTTTATGCAATTTCTTTATTTCAATTTTCCACGTAATTACATTGACATGCTTAAAATCATAAAATTAAAGAACATTTTGATATAATTAACATATCTTTAGTTCCAATTTTTCAAATGACCATACTACAAGTATAAGATCATAAAATTAAAAGACATTTTGATACATTTAACATATTTTTAATTTAGGACCTCAAGATTCAATTTTTTTTCTTTCTTAAACTTCATATCAAGTCAAAATATGTTAAACAAATTAAAACGGAAGGAAATATTTAATTGTACAATTTGCTTTTCAAATGAGTAGATTTTTAATTTTTTGCCCTTTAAATAAACTAGTCTTTAATTTGACCCCGGAGAACCCATTGAACCTATAAACTCATTAGTATTTCTTGCATACCCAATTTACTTTAATTCTTGGGCGAAGTAATTTGATTTACAACACATTCTTCTAAAACATGGCTTTCATTTGTCCATTTTTTTTTCCTTTTATATAGAGAACATGCAAGATTCTTCTCATGAAAATGGAAAATTTCTACAATATAGCACGATATTATGGTGCCAATAAATAACAAACTAATGCTGATGACTGTTTTAGTTAGTAGTTCAACTTGCAAGGAATTCTGTTAGAACTACTTTATCATACCCTAAAATGTAAAAACATATGTGTGTGTGATGGATACAGTTGGGAGCTGAATTCGTGGGAACATTTATCCTTATATTTGCTGCAACAGCCGGGCCAATTGTGAACCAAAAGTACAACGGAGCTGAATCTCTAATTGGGAATGCAGCTTGCTCAGGGCTGGCTGTTATGATTGTGATTCTGTCGACGGGCCATATTTCTGGAGCTCATCTGAATCCGTCCCTCACTATAGCATTTGCAGCACTTCGTCACTTTCCGTGGGTTCAAGTGCCAGCCTATGTTGCAGCACAGGTTTCAGCATCCATTTGTGCTTCTTTTGCACTCAAAGGTGTCTTTCATCCGTTCATGTCTGGCGGTGTTACTGTCCCTTCAGTAAACACTGGCCAGGCTTTTGCTCTTGAATTCCTCATCACATTCAATCTCCTTTTCGTTGTCACTGCTGTTGCAACTGACACCAGAGCGGTATAGACCAACTTATACCTTATAGATTCTTCACGTCCAATAAATACATACTACTAGTATTTACTAATTCTTTCAACAGGTGGGAGAGTTGGCTGGCATAGCAGTTGGAGCTACAGTTATGCTCAATATTCTAGTTGCTGGGTAAGTAAAATATCTCAACACCCAAGTATACAGGTTACGAAAATATATCTCTACTAACCCAAACAAACCCTTCGGGCATTACCATATATCAGCAGCTTGCATTAGGGAAGAAACTTACTTCACTTATTCTACAAATAATGTTGCAGAGAACCAACCGATAGAGAGCCAAATTAATACACTCCTTCCAATTATGATATATTCATGCCTAGTACTGTGACATGAATTCTCAGCTAGGCTTAAAACTTTAGTTTTTGCCCAAGCAAATCCAGTATTTCTTTTTTGTAGTTTTTTTGACGTGTTGGTGGAATAAGCAGGCCGTCAAGCGGTGCTTCCATGAATCCAGTACGAACTTTGGGGCCGGCCGTTGCAGCAGGAAATTACAAGTCATTGTGGATTTACCTAGTGGCTCCAACTCTGGGGGCTATTGCAGGGGCGGCTGTTTATACGCTCGTCAAACTTCGTGGAGATGACACTACCGAGACACCAAGCCAGGTTAGGAGCTTCCGCCGCTAGTCTGCTGAAGGAAGGGTGTTGTTCCAACTTATAATACTATTGTGTGCTTGAAAATAAAGGTGGAGGACTAAGGAAACTGTGACTTTCAGTCTCACCATCGAAAACAATTTACATTTGCATATAGACACTCTTTCTTCTCATTCACTTTGTGTGGATTACTTAGAAGAAGAGGCAGAAATTTGGTTGTGGTCTGTGACCTTTTTTTTCTTTTTATGATTTGCTCTGTGTGAACTTATGCTACCTTAAAATTATGTGTGACGATAATAAGAAGCTTTCTACTTGTATATCTAGTCACAAAATGTTCAAGCATCCAATGTTTATTAACAATCGTCACACCAGAACCGCTTAAATCCTTCTATCCTCCTTAGTCCTTGCAACTAATTCTGTAGGTTACTTTCTCTTCTCCAAAATCACGAAGTCATAGCATAACATATAATTCTCTAATAACTTAAACATTTAGATGAGATAATCACATGCTTCAACAACTACATTTCAGCATACATTATCATCTTCATTGCTGAAATAAATAAATAAATTATCTAACCTGAAGTTGGGTTCAATTAATACAGCATGCCCGGTTTGTTCTAAATCATCACGCTTTTCCACGATTGGGGATGAGTGATGACATAGTAACAACTCAAAGTAGTATCCTAACTTAAGCAGAGTTCAGACTCTCAGTGACATTCATCACGTTTAATATGCAACAGGGAGAGCTGAAGTGATTGGAAATTACTGCAAATCAAGATAGAAACAGGCCACTGTCAGATGGATAAAGGGTGACTAGGGCGTGCCTGATGGTTGCCTGTGGGTCAATCTATAAAGGCTGCATCCCCCTGTTTTCCTTCTGATAAAAAAATCACGTACGCGAAAGTTAAGACCTAGAAAGGAAGAACTCCTCAACAGGAAGACAGGGATCTGCAAAGGACCTTTTCTATTGGCACAAATTACCTTTTCTGCATGGTTTGGCATGCGGAAATTTACATCTTAACCAAGTCCCAATGTCACATTCACGAAGGGGAAGGCGTGCAACTTCTCCATTCTTTGACACTTGACCTTAATAGATCCGGGAGATGAGCAGACCAAATATCCAAATCTGGTAGTGGTCCTGTCAGTGCAAGATAATTTTCTCCTGCGCTCTTTGGCAGCTTTTTCCAGCTTACCTGCCATTTCAGATAATAAACTTTTTAGTCATCGCAGGTAAAGCCAGCAAAATGCAGAGCGACATCCAAAAGACACAAGTATTCTTATTGCGCTCATAGCAAATAAAGAAATTTATTTTATGACATGAAGATATGATGTCAGTGGAACTCTCTGGAAGGTTTCTTGCCAAGGTAGAGCAGACTATCAGTAACTTAAGTCCTGCCTTTTCCTAGCAATACACACCATGCAATTGCACATTTCAAGAAAATTTAGCACACATTTACAGGGTACACCATTACATTGCCCCCATATACCTTGATCAACTTGAAATGTCAAGAATTCCTTCTAAAACAAGGGCACAACTTTTGAAAACTATACAGATGTTTCAAGAAATCATTGTAAATTTTATTGGAACTGTTGGGTCACAAAGATACATGGGTTTTTGGTCTATATGGTGTGTAGACGATGGTAACAGTTGGTCCAAACCTATTGAGGTCCAACACGCACACAAGTATATATACCATACTATTTTTGCAAACTCACTTAACTTTCTTCTACCACAACCAATTTCATTCAAGCAAACCACCGTTTCAATTTCTACTCCAAGTCACTGTGTAAACTGTAAAATAAATAGGATACTGAGCATGTCATAATTACTTAACAGTATTTCTCCATCAAATTTGCATATCTTGATAAAGGCACTTTTAAATTACATATGGCTGAGATTACTTTTTGAAAGCCTCCTTTGCTTCACTGGCTTAAAGTATCAGTTTCATAGGTTCCCAACCCTAGGTAACCTTTTGGAATGAAGAAAGACAAAAAAGGCAGTTTGGGATCTAAAAGGGCCATAAAAATTTTGTACTGCTTTTACTAAGCAAAGAAGGTAAATGGAATTCAAGTACCCTACTTGCTCAGGAAATGCCTTGCATAATGCATTGATAGTTGCGTTTAGTTTCAAAGGGTCATCCCTTTTGGGAATATCTGGTTGCATCATTTCAGAAGTATCAGACAATTCTTTGGTAGCAGCACCACAATTCACCATGAGACGACCATTGGGCATCAACATCTTATTCATCTCCAACCAAGTTGTAACCTGTTAAGGAAAGACAAAACAAATGCATTAGATCCTGGAAATCTACCACCAAGGAACCAGACAGCAAAGTACATCACTATTTCGGAACAATCTTCCCACATATATTATTCAAGAAGTACCAAATTGGGGAATCTCATAATTTCTAGGTAGATCAAAAGTACTCCTTCCATTTAATTTCACATTTGTTGCCAAAAAAATAAAGGTTATTGTAAACTTTGAATGATAACTGTAACATCTTTAACCAATCTGCCAAAGCTTCATACCTTTAACTGTTATTTTAAGAATCTATCTAGTGAAATCTTAACATAAGAACACATTCACCTTGTACATCACAACATCAAAACACAAAATGAGATAAGAGAGAGCAGAGAAAGAAATCGTTACATATACGCGTTAAAACTGAAGAGTACTGTGGAAAGCTGTGTGAAAAAAATTAACATATATCCCAATGTCAGATGAATAGGTAAGGCAGAGTGAACTAGACTTGAATCCATGTTACGTATATTGATATCTAAAGAAATTGAGGCCATTCAGCTTTAAAGTTGATATTACTAGAGATTAAACCTGCATTTACTGAATGTAAAAAGTTCTCAATTGAGTAAATCAGAAACCTTTTTGACAACACTAGATTCACAAGGGTGAACATAATGAATCAACAAGACATGCAAAGGAGAAATGAGAGTGGCACTACCTTAATACTTGGTTTTCTGGTGAATAATAAATCTACTTTATCGATAAAAATGAGAGTAGATCTGCGAGTCACAATCAATCTAGATATCATTGTGAGTGCATTTGACAAAGTAGTGCTTTTAGCATGAAAACGAAACTTCGTCTAGTCAGTGTTTGGTAAATGTTGGAAGCGTTTTTGCTGTAGTAAAGCCTTCAACAAATGAGTAGAGAAGATGCTCAAACTTGGAGCTGATGAAACTTGTGTTCATCAATTTCTTTCTTTTTTGAAAAAAAATAAGATAAAGTTTTTTTTTTCTGTTGGTCAATATTTAGGTACTATTTGACATTTTTTTCACTGTCAAATCAAATCGATTTTCATTTTTTATATCAGTAATATCCCGACCAGCTTCTAAACATCTTGACTGTACCAGGCAAATCAAAGAAATTTTCGTAAGGGTTAATTCTGTATATTAAACACAAAGTACTTTGCGAAATAATTGTACGATGAGATGCTACTATAATTTCTTAAAGTACTTCTCTAAATAACTACAAAAAAGTACTTATCCAGAAGCTAACACATTCTCAATCGGGTGCCTAAATGGGTTGATTCAACCATCAACTCTATTATTAGCCAAAAAGAAAATCCACATGTAATTATTCAGAAGAGAGATACTATTATCAACTACATAGTTTGATGAAAAGATAGATAACCATTGTATTGTAAAAATAGAATCACAACAAATGCATGACTGTCAAAATTGTGCACTTGAGCATACCTCTTCCAGTTGTGGCAAAACCTTTCCATCAGAAAACAAATCAACTATTATACCTGAAATTATTATTTAGAAGAATATAAGTAAACTTCGGATAGAAGTCATACCGAAGTTTCTGAATGCTCACTTCGGATGCATGGCAAAAAAAGTTAAAAATTATGATAAATCAGGGAAGTTATTTGAAATGCTTCAGCTGCAGAACCAGCTGCAAGAACAATCATTTGCTGGAGGATAAGAACTTCCCTTCCATCATAAAGCAATTAATAGGTCGACTAAGGATTACATGTCTGAAATAAGGCAGTGACATACCAGCATAACCTCCAGGAATAGTAACAGATGAAGAAAACACATCTCCAATATGAACCTCCAACACACCTCCACCTTGAGTATGCTTCTCCAGATCAGAGAGCCCAAGATATTCTCTTGCTTTTGCAATCAACTGGAATAATGAGAAAAGCCAACTCATTTTCACAAATCAATTATGTTGAATTGGACAATGACTTGAATAATTGAGTTTTATGTGCCAGATGACATTATTAAATCCCTTTTTTGACATTATTAACTAATTGAACTCCATGTTATTGGATCAATACCCAAAACACAAAATTCCGAACTGAAAATATCATCACTGTGTAAATTATTCTAAATGATCATGTATTTATTGAGAGTAAAGAGAATCATTGAGAATATTGTGTTATGGTGGCTGCTCCAGCAGTCAGAGCTTCTTTCAGGTGGCCCTTCAAACTTCCAACAGCACTGCACCTCTTTCTGGTAAATATTCTGACCACACCACTTATTATGGTCACTATTCTGAAAAGATTTCCTATCACTGTTTTCTGAAAACTTTTCCAGTTGTTACTTGAGCACCAATTCAAGCTAGTTCAATGACATCAAGGAGATTGTATGTCACAACACCATTATTCAATGACAGAATTGATTCTTTCTTATCATACTGCAAGAATCACTTCTATTATTTGCAATTATTAGTGACTTTTAAAGGAAAGAATTCCAGCACTATTTTTCTTTCTGGTGATTGTCCATTATTCTAATGGTACTATTTGGATGATTGTTTACACTTCTGTTTTGAATATTTCTTAGCTTTAAGATTTGTGAACTCAAGTTGCTTCACCATCTCGAGTTTAAGGGATGTTTTAAGTCCAGAGAATCATTGAGAATATAAAGTAAACTACTTGAAATGACAATATTATAATAATTAGTATTCCCACAAATTAGAAAGCTCTCTTTTTTCATGTTACTAAAAATTCCTATATAAAGGTTTCTCTAGTGTGTCGTTAACCAACAAATTTCAATAATAGTTTTGTCTCTTCTTCTTTCCTTCCACGAGCTATAGAGTTTTTATAACTAGTGCAATTTCTTTTGGAATAGGTATGTTTTCTGCATTAGCACATGTTAGTAGCCTAGCCTCAACCAAGAACCCAAAATCACATAATACATGAAAGTTGCAATGAAATTTGCTGAAGGCTTGCTTGAGGAGAGCTTAAGTCCTCAAAGTAGGTGCAAATAGGCTTGGTGCTCAACTCGCTTAGAGGCTCTTTATGGAAGGCACTAAATCAATAAAGCATGTATATTATCGACCATGGACTCTATCTTGAATAGGGTAACAATGCACGATAAGCTTTACTTGAGGTTTTAAACGCATCACACATATATTTCTTTCTAAATTAGAGGCGGATCTAAGTATAATATCCTCCTCAGAGATGCATAACACATATCACTAAAGGTCTATGCCATTTATGTGATAATCAACTCCGGAATTCATGCAACTTTCAGTCACTAAGATCACTACATAACTTCCACATAAGTTAGAGAACAAGATCAATTCCTTTCATAGCAAGCACTGGAAACATACGAAACAATCAAAAACTGATTTGCATCAAGTACCTGTAGAAAAGCCAAGGGCTGCCAAAAATGGATGAGAACCCAAAAGGAATTTCTATTATGCTCACATGCGCATTATGATTTTGTGAAAGCTCAATTCCTGAATACATTAGAGGCCAGTTCAATTGAATCATTTAGTGAATCTGCTGGAAAGGTACTTTAGACCTGTTAACATTTTGAATTTCAATAATCATAGCTATGTTTCTCTTAATCCTGCCTATATTCTTACAAGGAATTTTATGCTTCCTATTTTCGTTTTGGAAATATTAATTTCGCAGAAGCTAAGGCCTTTAGTGTTCCGTCATTTGATGTTCACCAACTGCCTTTAAAATACTATCTATGTTGAATCATAATTAGCCAGTTGCCAAGTCACAGACCCTATGCAGTGCCTTTTATTGACTTGCAACAAGGAGGTTGAATAAGTTTCATTGGCTAAGCTTGTTGCAAAGAGTATGCTCATAGTTTTTTTTCAAAAAAAAGAGAAAAGAAAAGGAGATCTACCTAACAACGTTTAGAATTCCTGTAACTGCCTAAACTTCAACATCATTCTATTCTTTTGGATTGGAGTATGTCTATGTCCATATATACCCAGTAGATTGACTGTTTTCCGTAAGTTTTGCACTGTAAAGGGATTTTCTTTCTAGTGGCTCTGTAGGACGCATCTTAATGTAAAGGAAAGGGTACTTATTCAATAAAAATAGCAAGAAGTCAGGTTTCAAACCACCATCCCTTTGTTTCACATGGTTTTGACAATAAAATAACCGATGCAACAGAGGTGCTTCCTCAATAAAATAATACAGTACAATACTAATTTTAAGACTCTGGAAAGTTGTGGAATGACTCAGTACTGTTTTTTTCCTTTTTGGATTAGTTGGAACAACTCATTACTCTTGTTGGAACAAAAGAAACAGAAGCTAGCATCATACTATATAACTCCTCTAGATTTATATTTTCCTTTATTTATTGTGATGCATCAAGGTCCAAGATATACCAGAGAAAGATTGCATGAGAAATATCAAAATACAAATATGCTCTTGAAAGGAGAAAAGCTAAGAAATGACAATGAGAGGTTACTACAATTTCATCTATCTCCCATCCAACAAGCAACAAAGAAGGCCATAGTTCAAGCATCAAATGTGCAGCAGTTGCGCCCCCCTGAAAATTAGCAGGAAGTAGCTGCACCTCAGTTTAATCCCCATAAAGAGACAGTAAGATTTCAAAATTGAATTTGTTAAAAAACTAATTTTATCAGTGATAATTTGTCAAAAAACCTTAAAATAACCTAAATTTACCAAGCCAAAGATTGCGAGAGGGCCCTTTGGAACAATGGCCGGCAAGCTAGCAAACTCATCCTGGTAATCAAACAGAAGAAAATGTACCACATTAGGAGACTCAATGCACTACATATGCATAGTACAGTTAACTCTCAGGATCAATAACCCTAAACCATACAACAGAAAGTACAATTCCGCGTGTATCTGCCTGCCCATGCTGGATTGACTAAATTTTCGCCTTCATCATGTCATGTCCTGAATTTATGTTGCGCACCGTTTGACGCCATTTGGACACGAAACTGAGATTTGTTATTACTACCGGCAAATATCATTTAACACCTCTCAGACAGATACCAATTTTCATAACTCAGAATTGTTGAATGCTCACTAACGATGCATTTTGATTTCAATAATCCGAGAATCCGACAACTATGAGGACACTATACAGATAGTAATAAGAAGGCAGTTGAAAAAAAAAAGCAACGGCATACCCAATATGCACCAGTCCATTTGGTTCCCTTGTGAAGGATGCTATGCACATTATCTGTTCCAAGAAAAATAAAATTCAGAAACCGACTTGTTTGTTAAATTGAATGAGTATTAGTGATGAGAAGGAACATACTGGAAGAATCGAGAAGCAGGACTCGTGATTCTGGAGTATCGAGGATTACAATGTTATTATAATTACTTGTAACAGAAGTGAGCACCTTGAAATCTGCTGCGCAGCTCCGTATCGTCTTCCTTGTGAAATGCGCCTTTCTTCTCGAATGCCAAATAGAGCTGAACACCTTTTCATTGCCGATGGGAAATACGCTCGCCGATGGGCCGCCCCATACACTAAGTCTGCTCATGTCTTCTATGTTGTTGCAGATAAGAGTTAAAAGAGAATGACAACACTCCATTTACATCTTGCCTTCCGCTCTCCCTCCTTACTACTATTTTTTTTGTTCTTTTTGGGTATCCGAGCGAATGTTTGCCCACCTTAATTAATTTCACTAAATATCAGTTATGGGGAATTTTTGCAAAGAGCTACTATTATAATAAATTTAATTATGCTTTATAGCTATTAGTTTGCATATTTACGGGTTGTACATACAATTTAAGTTATTTCGTTTGTATAATTGAGTTATTTTTGTATAAATTCAAAATAACAAATTTATACAAATAACTGAAATTCAAATAGTCATACAAATTATATTATACAATTCTGAATTATACAAATCCCACCCCACATAATTATCAATGGAGGTTGATTGCTAGTGGTAATTAACTCTAAACTATAGCTATAATGACTAATTAACTAATATATATTTACTTAAAAATTGAATTTACCTTTTAAAATTCACAACATTAATCAATTTCAATTACATATATGTATTCATTCATATTTCATAATAATTGTGACAATTTTTATTTTTTTCAAAATGAATTTTTAAACCTTAATCTTATGATATAATGATGAGACTGTTTCACACTTAAGTTGAAAGATTCAAATTTGTGCTAGGAATATGAATAAATTATTAATAAATTTTGCAATAATTCGAATTTAATCAAAATCCAATATGATTCCAAATGAAAAACTAGAAAGGGAAAAAAAAAGATTCCCTAGTATCTTTGTTCCCTAAACCACCGCGGCGGGCAAAGTAAAAATGACTTGTGTCCGTCCGGTCCACAACTATTTTCAACTTTCCATTGAATCAACTTGACTCACCGCTACCGTCTCAGGTCTCTTCTCTCTCTGTGCGTGCGCCAACATTTCTATATCTTTACCTAACAATGTTTGTACTTCCTTTATTTTCTTGCTTGATAGGTTGCTTCTAAGTTAAAAATCGATTCAAACAATAATTTATCTAATTGAGGGATTTGGATGAAAATTGAGTGATTGAATTGTGTAACTGCAGCAGAATTTTGAGATGGGTATTACTATTCTTTTCACTCTACTTGTTTTCGATGTGGGTTTGCTCAAATGGGTGTCCAAAACATCTTCTTTTTGTTTATTTGTTTAATTTCCGTTTCTTACTTGCTTCTGTTTGGTTCTAAGATGGATCAGTTGGTTCATGGTTTACTAGGTTTGCTTATGAGCATGTTCATGTGCTGGTGCCTGGTAAATGTACTCCTTTGTTTTATCCATGTAAGTGAACATTGAAAACCAAAAAAGAATTCATGTGGTTTCTGTTCTAATAATGACTGAATTAAATTCCACTTTTGATAAACTGAAATTTGGATTTGAACTAGTTTAATGGCTTACTTGATTAAGATTTATTGGGTGAGTATTCTTTACTTGGTATAGGGTATAGTGAACAAAATAATTTTCAGCTTTATATTGAGTTTGAGCTTGTTTTGTATAGGAGGAATGTTAAAAAGGGTTGCAAAAGGATAGCAACGCGTTTGCTTGGTTCTTTTGTATTTGTTACCAATGCAAGATGTCGGTGTAGTCCGGCATGATAGTACCGTCCACTGTGATGATCCTTCTGATATTGAAAAGCAGAGTGCAGAGATCAGCAATCATGACTTAGCTACTGAAAGAGTGGATCAAACTGTACTCACCATAGTGGTTCCTGCAAGCGAATCAATCAACTCCCAGGCTCCCACATTAACCACAGACCCAGTTGGGAACATTTCCACCATTGAGAAAATAGCAATTGTAGAGTCTCCTAAGAAGCCTTGCTTATCCAGGAATCATAGTTTTCATGAACAATGCAGGTTTCTAGCCTTTTTACTTGCATAAAGATTACAACTTTTGATATATTTCTTTACTGATTTCTCCATATAAAGTTTTAGTATCAATCCTCTATTTGTTTCAAACGTTTTGATCCTTATTTTGTCCTTTTTATGTGCAATGTTTGCATTGTAGCCACATGTGAATTGAATAACCCAAAAAGAAGAAATTTTTCTTGATGAGACAGACGGAAGGTCTCTTTTTTTTTTTTTTTTGGGTAACTAATGAAACTAATGAAAATAGTTACAGGCACCATAGTTGGCTAAACACACCCAAACTATCAAAATACAAGCAACAGAGCTCCATACTCAGGCTAAAACAGAAAAGTAGACATAATTGAACTGATCCTGGGAGGGACCCTAACACAGCCGACATAAGCTATTTCCCTAGCAGTAATTTCAGGGTCTCGATAAACTTTTTCAAAAGTTCTCATGTTCCTTTTTATCCACAAGCTATGCACAAACTCAAGAGTAAATCATCTTGAAGATTTGAGCTCGTTGTGTCTTCCCTTCTGCACACCTTATGACTTCATTGATATATTGGTCCCAAGAGTGAAACTGTAATGTCTTATCTTTCTCCAGGATTGAAGTTTTTCCCAGCTGCTTCCCCATAATCACAGAAGACAAATAAATGGTCTCTTTATTCATTGTGTATCTGGCCTAAGGGACAGTGTAAAGAAACAGACATTTCCTATTTTAGCAATCTATCTATAGTCAGCACTCTGTCTTGTCATTGAAACAGAGTGTGAATCTAGCCTTTGGTCTGGCAGCATTGTGATACATCAAATTCTTTCACAGGATTCTGGACTCAGGGACCATCAATTTTATGTAAATCATTGAGATCAGGCCATTTCCACAAGTGTTGTTATACTGAAAGTGGACTAGGGAGATTCTAGATTCAATAACTAGGGACCATCAATTTCTTGGAAGATCTCTTGTTCTACCTTGATTTAGCTTTTCTTTGCAGAGCTGTTATAAAAAAAATCTATTTCTGTGATCATGTCAGAAGTTTCTTATTGATCAATATCACTTGGACTTTGTGTTCTTATGACACTATGTCCCATACCTTCTTCCCTTTTGTAAAGATATGACACCTGGGCTTAACTCAACCCCAAAAGCTAGCTCATAAGGGGAGGTTTGTCCAAGTCCATATA